CATGAATTTTAGGGCTTCATTAAAAAAAAAAATAAATCCCTAAACCGACACACAGTAAATAGGATATCCTGAAATGATGTTTGGGACCTACTTAAGCAGAAGAATTAAAGTCAGTTGAGATGCAGAGAAAAATGCGTGTTGCAGGTAGCAGAATGTTATTCTCTGAGAAAAACAAACAAAAAAAATAACAAGACTTGCTTCAACAGAACAGACAGGAAATGCAAATGAGAATACACATCTAGAGAATAATGAAAAGCAAACACAAAAGGCCCTGCAGACAGCTACAGCTGATGCAGTACATGACATCACAGCTCATAAGAGCCCCAAGCCTCTCACTGGTGAGAAGACCTCCTGCCTGCTTTCCCTCAAATTATTCTTACCAAGCAGTAAACAAAATTAAGAAGTCAACAGCCATCAACGATAAACTGTTTTGTCTTTTTTCCCCCTCTTCCTTCAACAAAAGATCAAAAAGCCTACTTACCCTTCTGGTCACTTTCAAATCCTACAACAACGCCTCGTGCCCCATTCACCAGCCCTTGAGACACATCCAGATTCTTAGCTAGCATCACCTACAGAGAAAGAGGAAAACCCCTCAGTGCACTGGCTTTACAGCCTGTTCAGCCACCTGCAGCTAAGCTTCTAGCCAGGAAGCTCAAGCACAGCAGGCTGCTACAACCACATCATCCTATTGCAGGATTGAGCACCAACTACAATTTGATTGAAATTATTTCACACCCTTTCCCCCCTAGGATTCCTAACTACATCCATTCTGCAGCACTGAACACTTCACTTGAGCTGCTTCTGCCCACAGCTGTGAGCTCAGATCCAGAGAACAGATTGCCCATCCTCAAACACCAACCAGCCTAGACACATATAGATTCTGGGAACACCAAGGCAAGCAGTGCTGCTGCTAAGCACAATCCTGCATCCTTTCCACTCCAACAGCCCTAGCTCGCAGCAAGGTGCCCAGTCCCGCAAATTTGTCAAGCTTAAAGGTCGGGAGGGCTGCTGTACCTGAGCCGAGACTGCAGGCAAGGACTTCCTGTGCTCTCTGCTACCTGGAGGCTTCTAAACCTGATTGGCAACGTGTGTCGAAGTCATAGCAGTCACCGCTGTTCACAAGACACAGACCTGCACTCAAATCAAACTATTTCTCTGCCTGGGTAAGATTCCAAGAAGAAAGGTTACAAAGATTGGGACAGAGCCTTCTGTTGGCCTGGCATAGCCATCCTATACAGAATCTGTGTTCTGTACATTAATCTACTCCATACATTCATCTGCTATTCCTTTATTTTTCTCATGCCATTTGTTCTGCTGGTCTTTCACAAATGTATGTATACACACACTCACCTGAGCTCCAAGCTTTAGCTCAACTCTACCACCCACAGGACACTGAGCATCAATTAACTTCACTAGCATTGGGTCACTGTCCAAAGCCTCAAAAGCATGCACCTCTCCTGTTAAGGAAAGAAAGATGTGACAAATTGCAACCACCGCACGTATTCCACACAGCATCGCAGGAGGCTCGGCATTTATTTCTAACAGCAATTCCTCTTTTAATATCCATTCTGCTCTGCCGGTAGGACATCTTCACACAGTCTTTCTGAGATGCTATAGAAAGAAAAAGCAGGGGTACGGAGGCACCCACCCTGCCTGATCAATGAGCTCACTGCCTATTACACACCAAGAAGGAACAAGTATGGATTTTGAAGCAAAAAATCTGTGAAGTTTTCCCCCAGGCAGCTCAACTCCAACACACACAGCTTGAACTGGTGCTGCTGTGCATGACAGGACACCAGTTCCTCCTGACACCGCAGTACCCCCGTTGCATCCACTCGAGCAGAGCTCAGCCCCAAAAGCAGCAGCTTCCTCCAAGGAGTTCACCTGATAGCTGTTGCAAGCGTCTCTCATTCGTTATTTCTACATCATCTTTATGGGTGCAGAGCCGTGTAGCCAGGATCCCATCATGCTCAGACCTGTTAGCAGCAGTCTGCATCAGCAGTGTGGTAACCTCCTCTGTGCATCTGGTAACCAGGAAAAGGGGATTATTATTTAAAGTGATCAGGTACAGGCCTTGAGCAGCAGTAACCTCCACACAGCTGGATGAGGCTGTGCAAGCCCCAGGCCTCCAGCGAGAAGGACAGAGAAAGAAAACTACACGAAGCTGGAGAGTAGTGCAAGTGTGGGCCCCAGCCACTGCCAGCTCAGGATCCATTAAATTCCTTTGCAGAAATTGCAAAGAGGGACCCTAGAAAGGGTCCTCCCTTACCAGAGCAACATATATAAAGCCTGCTTACATCAACTATTGCTAATGCCCCCAGCCACGCATTCCTGATAGAGCACAGAGAAGCAACAAACTGCTCTTCCCTCTGCTCCATCAGTAGGGAACAGGGATTAAAAGAGATTATTTTCTCCTCACCTGCCTAACCGGACTGCACTCAGGAGTGAGACAAAGGTCTTGTCCGTCTGCCTCCGCACTTCAGTCAGCTCCATGTTTATGTGGATGCATTTCCTCCAGCTTTTTGCCTAGAAAATCATTCTCTTGTTAAGAAAGAGGCAGACTTGAAGTATGAGAATGAGTTTAGGGACAGTTTTGTACCTGGAAGCAGAACTTGGTTTCTTCATTAGCCTTACAGACTGGGGGTAGCTGCAAGAAGTCGCCACAGATGATTAGCTGAATTCCTCCAAAAGGCTCATCCCGTTTTCTGACTGCCCTGAAAGGGAGGGAAGAGAGGAGAAGCTCTGAATGCCCTCCAGAACCTGGACATAATTGAGTCTCAGAAGTTACTTCTTCGTCTGTCAGTACATTCAAACATACACCACTGGCAGTAAAAGATGATGAGCCTCAGCTATGTCAGAAGAGCTAAAATAATTAAGAAATGTTATTACATGACATTAAGTTTACTTTGCTTACCCACCCCACATGTCATTACCAGTCTTGGTTCTTTGGTAGCTGCTATACTACAGCTCAGCTGCTTCTCTCCACAAGAGAGAGCTGTTGGGCACAGTACAGACAGCTGTATTCCACACTCAGGTCTATGGACAACACCTGGGCTCTGGAGAAGGAAAGAGCAACCAGACCAGCCACAGCTGGGGAAGAGACACAATCAAAACTTCTCTCAAAATAAAGGTCTGCCCAGGTGCTGGCTACAATTTTATGCTTCCCTCCGGTCCTATGACAGTAGTTGCCTTCTATCCATTCGCATAACTAGAGGAAACCAGCAGCCTGGAAATTTAGGCAAACTTATTTCTGTTCACTGTTTGACCTGACAATCCCTCACCTTGCCACTGCCTCCAGCCTGTCAAAGAACTTGCCGTCCACCATCGAGATCTCATCGATAATTAAGTGTTGGCAGGCCAGCCAGTGCTGGCGCACGCCAGGTCGCTCCGCCAGCTGGATGCACTGTTCCAGCGGTGCCTTCCCAGAGCCAATCCCTGGCAGGGGAGAAGAAAGCAAAACTTT